CCATAGGATTGGACGATTTTGGAGAGGTTTCTAGAGTTTCTTGAAGCCTCTTACAACTCCTAAGGATAACTTCCTCGAATAGATAAAATCTGAATGTTTTATTATTCAAATGAGGGTTTATCCCAGAGATTTCCTAGATATAAATATCCTGCTTTGGCTCCTAAATTTCATGGATCTCTCTTCCTATAAGGTTGAGAACAAAATTTCTCTTCCTCCCATCTATCTCCTTCAAGTTCTAGTATTTTAGGGTTTTAGGTGTCAACCATTAGAGACATTCACAATATTGGATGTTTTCTTTCCATGGAGCTTTAGAATACTTGAGAATATGGTTTGTTATATTCGATCATAACAAAAGTTATGTATACTAATCCTTTTTAATTTCGATTACAAGTAGGTTCGTTTTATTGTTTCATAAGTATATGGCTATAACTTTAGAAAATGTCATAGATCCTTAGGTTGCACGTGCCCATAAATTGTTTATGTGAAATTTAGTTGTGCAGATATTTTGATTGTAACCTAGAAATCCCGTCAGTTGTTTCAGAACCTAGGATTTTATGTTATATGTGCATATATGAAATTGGAATCAAAACTGAAGAAACCACGAATCTGAATCGCACCATTGCACGATGCGCTTCATGCCATGACCGGGCGTGCCTCCAACAAATCTTCAAGATTTTGTTGCCCTTTTCGAATTGTAGGATAATTACAAGTTTTAGTTGTTATTTTAATTTCTTAAAATCTGAACTTTTAAAATTGATAACTGGATAAATCCTAATTTCGAAATGTAAGGAAAAAGATAAAGAATATATATTATTTAATTAAAATACACCCTTGCATGTATATATAAGAGTTATACTAATATATGTAAAATATTAAGTCGATCGAATCAATAGTAGGCCTCGTTCATGAAGTCAAACTCTAAGAGAGATATAAGGAAACAACCTATAAAGACCGTTGAATGAGTGTCTTTTCACTCATTGCTTCTTTATGTGGTGGATTGTCGTTAGCTGAAAGGGTTCTGAAGGGCATTAATCTCTTGAAAAAGTATAACATAAAATACTAGACCATTCTTACAAATCCCAATCTAGTTACTTAGGAAAAATTTGAAATTGTATGCTAATCCATGAAACTGCACATCAATTCTTTGTGAGTCGTTAGTGGAGCGTGTGTGGTTAACCGTCATACAAATTTAGGACTACAAAATTGAAATGATGGTACAACTCGAGTTTATGATTGTTAATAGATCACATGTGATTAACTGCACATCAATGTGATATCATAAATGGGAACAAGGGTGTAACATTAAATACCAATAAGTTTTTTTTCGATTTTTAAGTAATAAATCCATCCTAAAAACATCACAAGTCAAGTAATCCGAAACATAAGTAAATTGTTTTCATAAAAATATCAGAGTAAATAAAAATTTCTTGTAGTGTGGAAATCATTGGTGGATGCAGTACAATAATGTTGGCTCCTTTCCGTTGCTACTAGAAGTACCTAAAACATTTTAACTTAAACTGTAAGCACAATGCTTAGTAAGGTCCCAAAAATAACACATACCATACATAACAATGGGCCCCACCCTAGGGGTATATTTCAACCCATGTGAATGTTATGATTCCACCATAATCTTACAGTCCCTTCCATTGCTACAGCTCCGCTGTAGTCTTTCCATCCACAATCTTTCACACAGGTGTTATGGTCCCGCCAAAAAATTTCATGATCACAATACCTAGTGTCCTACATAGTATAGTGAGAAAAACTCACCTCACAATCAAAGTCGTATAACAAAGCTCACACAGTCTAAAACTGGTGCTACACACCACCCAAGTTTAAACCTTAACCTACCATAGAAAACTAGATATTTTACTAAGAATCAACCATGTCAAAAGTCAACTCAGCAGGTTACCACGTCGTGGCTATTCTACGACAAAAAATGATGGCAAGCCTCTCCACCATGTTGTGGAAAGCATGCTACCACCTCTTGGGATCTATTCAGATCAACTTAATTGATTTAGCCTTTAATACATTAATCCCCAACCTCATTCCTTCTAAAAAGATTCCTTACACACTTGAGCATCATAAAAATCCTTGATTTATGGAAATGCGTGTCCAATGCATGTCTTGCACTCAAGTTAGATCAAAATGAGAAGAATATGGTCAAAGCCCCATGCATGAAACCATAACATCATAATACCTCATATTTGGATTATATGACCTCAGTGGGAACTCAAGAATCAACAAAGTTTTCAACTTTATTGGATCCAACCATTCAAACCAACCCAAACGTGAAGAAGTAAGCTTAAGAACCTAGATTTAAAAGGATTGCATCAAAATGGTAAGTTCTCGTAGACATACAAAAGTCTAGAATATGCACAAGAAGGTTGGGGTCATCTTTTTTGATGAATCTTTGCATAATAGCACCTTCTTTTTTCTTCAAAATCCACAAAAACATCACAATAATCTCTAATATGATCACAAAGAGGCTAGGTTCGACATTTGGTCTTGGGGGAGAGGGTGAGGGAGGCTAAGGGTGGATAAACCCTAGCTATCACATCCATGAAATCGCTCCCAAGGCATGTGATATAGGGTTTTGAGCCCTAACCGTAACCACGTCGTGGCCAATACATGACCTCGTCGTGGCCGCTCAAAAATAACGCGACTCATCATACGTTGCCACCATGATCGCCCTCCACCATGTCGAGGCCACCAAAAAATCACAAAATTAAAGAATAAATCTCATATCTAAAAATCGGGTGTTACAACTCTCCCCCACTTGAATCATATTCCATCCTCGAAATTTGCTTCTACAAATAACTTATGGTCATGCTCTCTCATCTCCTCCTCGGGATGCTAAGTCCATTCGGAACCTTTCTAATTTTTTCATTGAACCTTAACCAAACCCACCAACATGTTGCATAAGGTCTTCGTCTTCCTGTTAATAATGGAAATCATTCGTTGTATGTAATTCAGGCGCACATCAACCTCAATGTCATCCAATGGTACCACTACAGAGTCATCAACTAAGCACTTCTGCAACTGGGAAATATGAAATGTGTTGTGCATCTGACTAAGCTCCAGAGGAAGATCCAAACAATAAGCAAACTTACCCACCTGGACAATAATCCTAAAAGGACCAATGAATATAGGGCCCAACTTGCTCTGCTTCCAAAACTGGATGACACCCTTCCACAGTACCACCTTCAAAAGCACGAAATCCCCAACCTAGAACTCGAGATCAAAATGGCATCAGTAAACGAAACTCTTATATCTACTCTATGCTATCCGCCGTCTACCACATGTTGTATCAGTTATGTAGTCTTCAGCACTACCTTAGTGGTCCCCATCACATGCTAACTAACCTCACCCCAACAAAGTGAGGCCCGACATTTCCCCCATATAGAAACTCAAATGGAGGCCTCCCAATCTTGGTGTAATAGTTATTTGTTGTAGGAGAACTCAACTAAAAGACGTTAGGTATCCCAGCTCTCACCAAAATCCAAAACACATGCCCTAATCATATCCTCGAGGGTATGAATGGTTCACTCACTTCGACCAAAAGTATGTGGGTGGTAAGTGTAACGTCCCACTGATAATACCATAAAATTTTTGTTTTTAGATAAATAAATCGTTAATACATATCATTTACATAAAACCAAGGTAATCAAGATTTAGCAAAACATAATCGAATCAGAGTAAATCACGATATGCGGAAACATATGATGTGTGCTCTGCAATCATCTCGAGATCTTCCATTAATAAACCAAAGTACCTAAAACATAAACTGGAAATCGTAAGCACAAAGCTTAGTGAGTTCCCCCATATATGTCATACCATACATATCGTATAAAGGGCCCCTCCTAAATGAGATACGGGCCCCACCCACACTCGAATAATGGGCCCCACCCACACTCGAATAACAAGCCCCGCTCAATGAGTTATGTGCCCTACCCACACGTCCATAACAATAAGATACGACCCTCGTCTACACTCGCATAACGATGAGATTTGGGTTCCACCCACACTCGCATAATGGGCCCTGTCCACTAAACATATAACCATATAATCATATAACATTCAGAACAATGTGAAAATCACAAAGATAGTAGCTTACTGCACAATCATTGGGCCTCGCCCACATACAATCATATATGCATAACCTGATACTAGCATAAAGAATAATTATCGGGGCCCACCCAACATACATACCAATACATTCATATTCAAGATTCACACAGACAACTAGCATCCTAACATAATAACCATGGGCCAACATTTGTACCTTCGACCCACTAAACACGGTGAGGACACTCACCTCGCACTGCTGAAGTCCTGTGGATAAATCTCTAGCTGCTGGCTAACAGATCCCCGAACTGTCAACATAAAAACAATACCCGATTAACAATCAGGATCCAATTCATAACTATAAATCCATACTTGGGGTAAATACCATTTTACCCATAACCTAGCTTGGTCCAAGACCAAGGCCCAAACTCACCCTTTGAAGGCCTAAAAGCCAAATAATCAACTAGGCCCAATTATGTCTCAATTTTCCAAATTGCGCCCAAACCCCTTAAAATGGACCTTACCCTAATGCCATCCTGTTTTTCTTAGTCCATACGCTTGTTCTCAGATGGCCCATCAAGAACCTAAACACCTAAGCCCATAAGAAAGGCCCAACTCGAAGCCCAAATATGATTAGGGTTTTCACATAAAATGACGATTAGGGTTAAGTAAGAACACTTAACCCATTAAGGACTTAATTCATTAAGTCCATCACTCTACCAGGTCAATCATATAATGTGGTCAGACATAATTCATAACTCCAATCCAAAGGTCCAAAACAAGGGGTCCCGACAAGTCCCAAACTAAAGTCTCCAAGATTAGGGTTTTCTAAGCCCTAATTAGGGTTTCCAACCCAAGTGCATGACAACTAGGTACAAGGTTAAGTTTTTAGGTTAATTAGAGTTTCACAAGGTCGGGCACCACCTACTGCCACCTCAGGCGATGGTGGTTGATGGTGGTTCACGGTGGCAGCCACCACCCCACGGCGGTGGTGGTGGTTTTTGAGTTAAAATTCGACCACAAGGTTGCAATACATCAACCAATGAAGAAAACGTCCATACACATAAGAGTTCACACACATAGCCACCTAACACAATGGCTGATGGTGGCAGAAGGTGACAGTCACCATGGTGATTTCCCACATTTTCCGGTCAAAGAACCCACACACACACACACCTCCCAAACACGAAATAACACTACATACACACACCCACAACCACCTTCGTAGTGGTAGGCGGTAGTTCGAGATGTCAACCACCACTTCATGGTGATGGCTTTGTTTTGATGTCCAGGCAAGCAAACACACACACACATAACATGCACAACAAGCAACAGAAGCACACACGTCCACACTTGCGAAATATTAACATAACCACCCACTTGGTGGCGTGTGGCGGTTAGTCACGAGCAAGTTGCTATGGAACGGAATGAAATTGGAAGGAGAAGGGTGGTTGCAACGGGAACCAGGGGTTGCACCTCCACTGAAGAACGATAGCAACGCCAATGATTCATGGTTACGACAACCCACTGATTCGGCATCAACACGATGCTCTTCGTTACTGTCAGCAGTTGCACCGATAGCTTGGCTTTGGTGGTTTCTGGCTTCAATAGTGGCTAGGAGGCAGCGGTAGCCGGAGGTAGGGGTATAAGGGTAGTGGCTGAAGCATGTGATTAGGATTAGGGTTTCCTTTGGTGATGCATCATTAAAATGGGAAGGGAAGGGGATCAGGTTCAAGTATCATGTCTGATTCCAAACATAAGCCCATAATTACACTTCCAGTCCCTCCCCCTCAATTCCTTTTCAAACTAATCCCACTAACTACCAAACATCCCCTAATTTTCAAAATTCATTACAAATCAAGTCCAAATGTTTCAATACATATCCCAAATTCCATAAATTATATCATTTAACTCCTTATGGCTAACACTGATAACTATTATGGTTTTAGGGCTATTATTCATTTATTAATTTTATCTATTTATTTATTAAACAAAATGTTACAGTAAGTAGTACTGAAATGCAACCGAGTATCCAAATCCTCGTGGAACTCTCAGAAACCTGGAGGTAAAATGGACATCACGATCGGAAACAACAAAAACTGGTACCCCATGCCGTGAAACTACTTCCTTGATGTAGATCTTGATTAAGTTCTCAACGGATCAAATTTCCTGAATCGGATTCAATTGAGCGTTATTGGAGAATCTCTCAACAATGACCCATATC